CAGATTGCATCACATATATACGTTAATGCAATTTAATTATAAAGATTAACATTAGTACAAAATATGTATATGTTGTCTGTTATGCTCTTACAGTAGGTCCCATTTCGTTTTGTCGTCTTCATTCACGCTTTTCGGGAATCACGCAGCTGCGTGAAAAATATTACATCTTATCGCCACAAGGTGGCAGGTTAAGTCCGCTTTAGCTCTGCCAGCGACTTAGACGCTCAGGTATGATACTGCGTGCAAACCTGACTAGCCCAGAGATTGTATGTTGGCCGAATGGTTAACATTGAAGGCTGGGACCTGGAGAACCCAGGTTCAATTCTTGTCTGAGGCAATTTTGGTTGCACATCTTTTGGTTGCTTGTGTGCAATTACGTAACGTTATCAGATTGTTATCTTCTTTCCTTGTCAAAAGGAAATGTGTAAAAATGGCTGTGTGTTCAAGCCGTGCATGTGAATGTATATGTGTTGTTATTGAATGCTTTTTCAAAGTAAGAGCATAACAGACAACATATACATATTTTGTACTAATGTTAATCTTTATAATTAAATTGCATTAACGTATATATGTGATGCAATCTGGGAAAACCCGTCGGATGTCACGCTGGCACGTTCCGAGCAAACAGTAAAAATAGGTCGATTGTCATTTTTTTGGCAAAATTGTTTTTTCATTAAACAATTATTATATAACATCTTGTCTTTAATGTCTGAAAAAATCTAGGTGAAATTCACTAGTGTTATACGTTAAATATTGTGATATGTTTTGATAAACCGAACGTTACGTTACATCCTCCGCTCTGGCCCCGAGAGCAGCTGCTGTGACCCCCGCTCTGACAGCTCAGTGAACGCACTGCAGTCTGGGCTCCGAGCGCGGACCATAGACACGCGAACAGAACCACAGACAGGACCATAGACACGCGAACAGAACCACAGACAGGACCATAGACACGCGAACAGAACCACAGACAGGACCATAGACACGCGAACAGAACCACAGACAGGACCATAGACACGCGAACAGAACCACAGACAGGACCATAGACACGCGAACAGAACCACAGACAGGACCATAGACACGCGAACAGAACCACAGACAGGACCATAGACACGCGAACAGAACCACAGACAGGACCATAGACACGCGAACAGAACCACAGACAGGACCATAGACACGCGAACAGAACCACAGACAGGACCATAGACACGCGAACAGAACCACAGACAGGACCATAGACACGCGAACAGAACCACAGACAGGACCATAGACATGCGAACAGAACCACAGACAGGACCATAGACACGCGAACAGAACCACAGACAGGACCATAGACACGCGAACAGAACCACAGACAGGACCATAGACACGCGAACAGAACCACAGACAGGACCATAGACACGCGAACAGAACCACAGACAGGACCATAGACATGCGAACAGAACCACAGACAGGACCATAGACACGCGAACAGAACCACAGACAGGACCATAGACACCCGAACAGAACCACAGACAGGACCATAGACACGCGAACAGAACCACAGACAGGACCATAGACACGCGAACAGAACCACAGACAGACATTTACATTTACATATACGCAGACAGAACCCAGACAGGCGGAGACAGGCGGAGACACGCGGATCATAGACACTTGGACAGAACCAGAGACACACGAAGCATAGACACTCGAGTCGGACAGGTCCATTTGTTTTATTTGTGTTTAAAGTTACCTAAGTTTCTCCTTGCATTAAAAATGCTTGGTGGTTGTGGATATTTAGACTGCGTGATTTGATAGAATAATACTGGCAATGTCTAATACATATCTAATTTTCAGTAAATTATAAAGAGAAAGAAAAAGAAGAGGAGGTCAAAATTCAATCCATTGAATATTGAAAGAATCAATACATTCTTGATTTTCGACTAAATGGAATACATCACAACTGTTGGTGCATTTTCAGAACAATTAGTTCAAACTGCAAAACCTGGTGGATAACTTGCTAAAGTGCATCACCTTCTCAAAATGAAAAGTTTATTCCTCAAAAGCAAGTCTTCATGTCAATGAAATTGTCTGTGTCGTCAAAATTATAAGTCCTGACAACATTGAGTATGAACAACAGTCAAATGACTTAGTCATGTTTTCATTGTGACACTTTACTCTCTCTGCTTTTTTCAAAGCAAAAAATCAGATCTTGGTGAGCACTAAACACTGTACAGCTGAATACTACAGTAAAGTTACACACGACTGTATTTAGTGAGAGTAAAATACACATTTATATGTACTGTGTGTGTGTGTGTGTGTATGCATGTATGTATCGATGTATGTCTTTCACATATTTACTGCATTTGCTCTTTGCAGTTCTACAGCATTGTGCAACAAAAATACAGTCACATACATGTATGTACATAGAACAAACATACAGAATATCATTATGGTAGAACTGTGACAAATGTAAACAATAAAAAACACACCTTGTCGTGTTAGGAAAAATGTTCAGGATGTAAAAAGATAAAGTATTGTATGAAATCAGATTGACAGATTTTGGTTTTGAACGAGTTCAACAGTTTTGTATGTGATGACCAAAGCCATGAAATGAGCTTTAGTTTTACAGGGAGAAACTATTCAGTCGTGATAAGTTTTATTTTGACTAACAGGACAGAAGCAAATGATGATGTTATAAAACAGAGAATTGTATGAAAGTAACTGATACATGAACAAAAGCATTTGTAATCTGTTCAAACGAGAAACTGCTGCGATTATGTCGTGACTCAGTGTTTTGTATGTTTGTTCTACGTAAATACTGTATGTGTGCTATTTTTGTTGCACAATGCTGTAGAATTGCAAAGAGCATATGCAGTAAATATGTGAAAGACATACAGTACATACATATATATCTCACTAAATACAGTCACAATGAAAACATGACTAAATCATTTGACTGTTGTTCATAAACACTGGTGTCAGGACTTATTCTTTTGAGACACAGACCGTTCTGTTGAGGAATTAAGTTCATTTTGAGGAAGTGACTTTTTAGCAAGTTATCCATGAGGTTTTGCCGTTTGCACTAATTGTTCTGAGAAATGCACAAACTGATTACAAAATATATACTGTGCATTCTCAGGGTAGACAGCACTGCCATGGCATCTCTTCTGCATTGTCCACATGTGTATCTGTGGACTACTGTAGTACTCTCTTGCAGCTCTCCCTCCCCCGCACGAATAAACAAAGCCCACCCCTGGCCCCTGCTGTTATAAGTCATTACCTACATTTGCAAATCAATACATGCAAATGTTAGCAGCCAACCTATCCTTCTTTTCAAAACAGGGGCCAATTTCGCTTGGGTTTGCTAGTGTTAAAACTAAGCAGACATTCATCAGCCAACTCCATTATATTTGTAAAACACGGAGAAAGAAAGTTTCCCACCCATCATACATTTGTATTAGCAATATCGTTTTACAAGTTTACTACAGTCTAGCAACTATTCATTTCAACTTTCGGCACAACACGCCAAAACACGCATGAAATTCAAGATTTGGACAACAATAAACATGTTCACACTCTGGCATCATGTTTAAAAAATTGAATTTGCGCATCAGAAAAAGTCTAACGGAAACACGCAAACTTCGAATCATATATATAATAAGCCTCTGAATTTATTCTTTTAAATAATGTTGTTATAACACTCACCATTAATGCGACTTCTGGTGCTGGACTGTAAAAAATACAACTCAAAATTGTTCACCTTACTAAGATTTTTGCATTCACTGACAATAAAATTGCCAGTTGGAACTGCAACTGTCTGCTGTGAGCCACTTGAACTCATATGAACAATAGAAGGCCATGGCCTGTATAGTAGTACAAAAACAAGATAAAATAGAAGTACAAGACACACAATGTTCTTTGATTGTATATCTGCTACGATTGTGTATCCGTTGTTTTAGCTGACTGACGCCAATATATCCAATATATAATGTTTCCCTGTTTATTGTTCTGCCTGAATCTACCACCTGTTGTGAATAAACTTCCAGGTTGCTCTGGTGTGCAAAGATCCCTGCCTATGCGTCTGATTTTCGACACTCACTTTCTGAAGTTTCTGATGAAAAGTTAATCTTATTTGATCATTGCAGCATCACTGGGGGGAAAAAAAAAGAAAAGACACGTGATTCGCACGTGAGCCTCGTGCAAATCACGCGTGAAAGGCGACAAAACGAAATGGGACCTACTGTACATTGGGAACTAAAACATGCAGCAACACCGGCCCTTTGAGGACTGGTTTGACATCCCTGCTCTACACAAACACACACACACTCTACACAAACATATACACTCTACACACACCCTCTACACAAACACACACACACACTCTCTACACAAACACATACACTCTACACACACCCTCTACACACACACACAATCTACACACACCCTCTACACAAACACATACACTCTACACACACCCTCTACACAAACACACGGCGGCACGGTGGCTGAGTGGATAGCACTCTTGCCTCTCAGCAAGAAGGTCCTGGGTTCGAATCCCGGTCGGACCAGGGCCTTTCTGAGTGGAGTTTGCATGTTCTCCCCGTGTCTGCGTAGGTTTCCTCCGGGTACTCCGGTTTCCCCTACCACTAAAAATATGTCCAATAGTTCTGGCATGCGCCTCCTGTACTGGCCCTGCTCCCATCTCTGTGTGGAGTGAGAGACTAATGCCCAAAATTAACAATTGTAAACCGCTTTGTGACTCTGATCTGCAGTGAAAAGGCGGTATATAAATAAAAACTTACTTACTTACACACAATCTACACACACCCTCTACACAAACACACACTCTACACACACCCTCTACACAAACACACACTCTACACACACCCTCTACACAAACACACACTCTACACACACCCTCTACACAAACACACACACTCAAGGTTCTCACATAGACACAACACAAACTCCTCTTCTTCCTCAGTCTCAGCCTTGGACCTGTGCTTTTCTTGTGACAGAGTTCAGGCTCCTGTCGACCATTCGCACTGCCGCCTCCAGCCTTCCGTCACTCCCTCTCTCACCCCTTCTCTCCCCCTCTCTCACCCGCTCTCTCGCTCGGGGGGGAGAACGTCAAAGCCCGCTCCACCCGTCTCTCCAGTTCAAAGCCGACAGAGTGACAGGTTATTTAAAAATTCATACGGTAATACAACGGGCGTGTGGCATCTACGCGTGGCCCCTGCAGCAAACCCGGGGTTTCCCACCAGATCCGTCGGGGGAGGACCACAATTAAGGCTCTAATTTGATGAGGAGATAACGGCGTCGGGTCTAATGGAAGGGACAGCCTTCACAACTGCTGCCGTGGATCTGCGCTTATTAATGCAGACGTGATCGGAGCCAAAATGGAACAGATGCCACACAAAGAGAAGACGAGAAGTGACCGGGGGGAAAGAGAGAGAGAACAGAGAGGGAGGGAGGGAGAGAACAGAGAGAGAGAGAGGCAAGAGAGAGGGAGAGAGAGAACAGAGGGAGAGAGAGAGAGAATAAAGAGGGAGAGAGAACAGAGAGGGAGGGAGGGAGAGAGAGAGAACAGAGAGAGAGAGGCAAGAGAGAGGGAGAGAGAGAACAGAGAGAGAGAGAGAGAACAGAGAGAGAGAGAGAGAGAGAATAAAGAGGGAGAGAGAGAGAGAGAACAGAGGGAGAGAGAGAGAGAATAAAGAGGGAGAGAGAACAGAGAGGGAGGGAGGGAGAGAGAGAGAACAGAGAGAGAGAGGCAAGAGAGAGGGAGAGAGAGAACAGAGAGAGAGAGAGAACAGAGAGAGAGAGAGAGAGAATAAAGAGGGAGAGAGGGAGAGAGAACAGAGAGGGAGGGAGGGAGAGAGAGAGAACAGAGAAAGAGAGAGAGGCAAGAGAGAGGGAGAGAGAGAACAGAGTGAGAGAGAGAGAGAGAATAAAGAGGGAGAGAGACAGAGAGAGACAGAGAGAGAGGGAGAGAGAGAGAGAGAGATCAGAGAGAGAGGCTAGAGAGAGGTCAGAGAGGGGGAGAGAGGCCAGAGAGAGAGAGAGAACAGAGAGAGGGAGAGGCAAGAGAGAGGCGAGAGGGAGGCCGAAGAGAGGGAGAGAGAGAGGCCAGAAAGAGAGAGAGAGAGACCAATTAGAGTCCAGAGCAAGACCAGAGAGAGGGAGAGAGAGAGAAAGAGACCAGAAAAAGAGACCAGAGAAAGAGACCAGAGAGACCAGGCATGCAATACCTCGCTGTAAGTCTCAGAACCTTTGGAATTCGACCCTAACCTTGACCTCTGACCCCTGACTTTAACCCCTGACTTTAACCTAATGAAATCGTATCCTCGTCTGTCCATTACTTCATCCCTCAGACTTGTTCTACTTTTGTTTTTCATGCCCTTTGCAGTTAAATGGGTGGATAAATAAAGTGTGTAGTGGGAGAGCGGTCGGCGGTTGGAGGCCGACAGCTCCATCAATATCCCATTTCTGCCATTTCTTTATATACATATATTTTAGTACATTTCACAGCTCATTGAGTGACAAACACGGCCCTGACAGCTTCAAAGATATGGTTTTTATCTGTGGGACGGTGTTTTCTCTCTGAAGGCTGAGAACCATGTGGGAGCGTGACCATGTGGGAGCGTGACCATGTGGGAGCGTGACCATGTGGGAGCGTGACCATGTGGGAGCGTGACCATGTGGGAGCGTGACAGTCGGAGCTGTTCAGAGCAAAACATTTTACACCTCAGCGTTTGCAGGTGTGTTATTGGCTTCATTAATGTGTGTCTGTGTGTGTGTCTGTGTGCGTGTGTGTGTGTCTGTGTGTGTGTGTGTGTGTGTGTGTGTGTCTGTGTGCGTGTGTGTGTGTGTGTGTGTCTGTGTGTGTGTGTGTGTGTGTGTGTGTCTGTGTGCGTGTGTGTGTGTCTGTGTGTCTGTGTGTGTGTCTGTGTGTGTGTGTGTGTCTGTGTGTGTGTGTCTGTGTGCATGTGTGTGTGTGTGTGTGTGTGTCTGTGTGCGTGTGTGTGTGTCTGTGTGCGTGTGTGTGTGTCTGTGTGTCTGTGTGTGTGTCTGTGTGTGTGTGTGTGTCTGTGTGTGTGTGTCTGTGTGCATGTGTGTGTGTGTGTGTGTGTGTCTGTGTGCGTGTGTGTGTGTCTGTGTGTCTGTGTGTGTGTCTGTGTGTCTGTGTGTGTGTGTGTGTCTGTGTGCATGTGTGTGTGTGTGTGTGTGTGTCTGTGTGCGTGTGTGTGTGTGTGTGTGTGTGTGTGTGTGTCTGTGTGTGTCTGTGTGTGTGTCTGTGTGTCTGTGTGTGTGTGTGTGTCTGTGTGTGTGTGTCTGTGTGCATGTGTGTGTGTGTGTGTGTGTCTGTGTGCGTGTGTGTGTGTGTGTCTGTGTGTGTGTGTGTGTCTGTGTGTGTGTCTGTGTTTATATGGTTGGGTGATGTTTATCAAACACATGTCACTCGTGTGTTTTGAGATTAGTAAAAACTAGCTTGTTGTTCGTGTCACAGCCATAGACTGTATATTTTATCGGACGTAGTCAGGTCTATCTCCGCTGTTCAAAGAAATGATCCAAAGATTGGGCTTTCATGGAGTGATTCAAAATGGCCGCTGAGGCTGAAAAATGTGAAAAAATCAGTGTGGGCAGGTCCCAGCTCAAAAGTGGCCAATATGACGTGCGCTGACAGGCTGCAATACCACCCCGGGCCTGTGGGGGTGGACCCAGAAGAAAAATTAGCCAATGCTAACATATAGCATCTTCTTACCTCTCAAAAATGTCTTTACAGGATGGTCCAAAAGTTGGCTCTTGGTCCAAAGCTCCGTTCCACATGTGAGTCAATGCTGAGTGTTCTGGACCAGTCTAGTTTAGTCGCTGTGGACTTTAGAAGTCTCTCGTTCAAATGAATGGAGCTGCTCCGGCTGACGCATGCACAGATGCGTTTTTTCACAATCTTCTTGTGGGCGGGACCACTCGCGGCCATTTTGGATTGCTCCAGTAGAGCACATTTTTGGCCCATTAGTTAGAACAGCGGAGATAGGCGTGACTCTGTCCGTTAATTTATACAGTCTATGGAAAAAACCCACCAGTGGGGGCGGGTCCCGGCTCAAAAGTGGCCAAACCCGCCCCCACTGATATTTATGCATTTTAACCCCGGCCGAAGGGGGTGGACCCGGAATAAGAATTAGCCAATGCTAACATGTACCATTGGCAGACCTCTCGAAAAACGTCTTTACAGGATGGTCCAAAAGTTGGCTCTTGGCCCAAAGCTCCGTTCCACATGTGTGTCAATGCTGAGGGGGGTGAATCTTTTTGGACCACTCTAGTTTACTCGTGGTGAATTTTTGAAGTCTCTCGTTCAAATGAATGGAGCTGCGCCGGCTGACGCACGCGCAGATGCGTCAGCGTTTCTTGTGGGCGGGACCACTCGAGGCCATTTTGGATAGCTCCAGTAGAGCAGTATTTTTGGCCCATTAGTTAGAACGGCGGAGATAGGCGTGACTACGTTCGTTAATTTTTACAGTCTATGGCCGGGACCCTCCCCGACTAATATTTATGCGTTTTAACTGTTTTATTGTTTGCATTAACCTATGAAATCATCTACATCTCCGATGATGTATGCGCACGTTTTACAAATGATCAATTTACTCGCGAACGATAAAACGTAGCAACTTACTTTTTTTCCTCCATGAAGTACACATTCAAGGCTTTCCGAAACTAGTTTTGATTTGTCTGTGGGACGTACGGAGGATAAGCTACGTTTGTCTGAATGTCTATGTCCAATCGGATCTATGGTACAAACACACGGGGACTGCCAAAGATCGTCAGAGAGTGGGATGTCTCACTCCCCTCTATGTACTTGTTGTCCCACAGTTGAAACTACAGCTGTGATTGCAATTGCCGGCTGAAGAGTGCGCATTATTGATATGGACAATAATAATTACAGTAAAATGATATTATGTGTATATGATGTATATAAATATATGTATTAGATGTATTTTTGTTTTTTTTTGTCTTAGTTTCTTTTGTTTTACGTATTTTACAGCTGTGATACTAAAGCAACCCCAGCATCATAGACTGCTTCAGGAAGGGCATTAGGAGCACAGTGTTTTTTGCTTTCATAGTGGAATTTTGTAAAAAAGTATAATAGTCATTTTTTTCCCCATTATCCCCAAGACCCTAAATAACATTTCTATGCAGTCTAAAAAGTTGTTTATATCATTTCATTGTGTTTTTTCAATACATTTTTGTGAAATTGATTTTCCGTTTGTTTTTTTTTCTTTGTCTTCATGATTCCATAATGTTCATATAATTCATTTGACAGCTCTACAGGATGAATATTCTAAAACCCCAGGTTGTACTGAAAAAAACAAAGTATATTGCTTGACTCAAGATCACAAGATGACTGTTTTATGAGCAATTACAAAGGAAACCAGGCGATGAAAGTTCCCCAAAATGACCCACGACCTTGGAGGGTTTGGGTCGTATTGTAAAACACTTTGGTCTCCTTAAGTGTTGTAAAAAGCTCCATAAATAAAATGGATTGATTTTAACATGGCCTGAATAATGGCGTTGAGCGTCTTGTTTCCAGTCTTTTTGACATTTAAAAGTTTGAAGTTACTAAAATGGGGCTCATTTCTATCATTATCAGTTAAAGTAACGCTAACCCAGTGTTTATGAACAAAAGTCACATGGTTTAGTCATGTTTTAATTGTGACACTTCACTCTCTGTGTTTTCAAAGCAAAAAAAGTCAGATCTCGGAGAAACTACCTGAAAACAACAGTAAAGTTACACATTACTTCATTTAGTGAAATGCATGTGGGTGTGTGTGTGTCTATGAGTGTATGAAACGGTTCATAACATGGCATTCTCCACACCTGCCCTCTGGCCACTCCTGCATTAAACATTTTATTAACGTCAAACTCCATTATCTGTGATGGAGTAATCAGGCCCACGCGCTGTCGGAGAGGGTGCGCCACGAGCTGGTACAGACACACAAGATGCTAAACTTTTATCAGACAACAAAGAACTATCCACCACCAATATCTGACATAAATGTTGTGGGTTGAGACAAATACTTTATTATTATATTGTGTTTCCTATCATTTAGTTAGAGATTATATTGTCAAGAGGGTCCTCTGTGGATGTGTTATCATTACAGGACCTTATGGATGTGGATAT